CGTAATTGTAGATTAAAAATTACATAGATAAGAAAATTATTATGTTGGTCAAATTTAATCACGCAACTTTTCCGCAATCTTCTCTATTTCTTTACGGATATTTTCACCAGCCTGGCCAATAAATGATTTCGCTTTTTCCAAGGCATCATTCAACTCGGATTTCTCGAGCGCTCCTTTCGCATCATCGAAAATTTGTTTTGCCTTACTCGTTAAATCGTCGAAATTACTTGACACAGATTGTTCCGCATCTTGGGATAAAGGATTAGCCTAAATATAACAGCATAAATTGCTTAATAGAGATTATAAAAATCATTGACAAGAATTAATCCATATCCAAAAATACATTTATACTTACTTGAGAAATATAGATTAGGCAAACGAAGAGAAAAACGAGTAAGAGTGATCGAGACATAATGCGATCGTTTAGCGTGGAGTGGTGAAAAAAAAATGCGATAGTTTCTGTCAGAGAGACGGTAGAAAACTGCTATGGAAGCTTCGCGCGAAGTATATTGCTACGATAAAATGAATCAAGATCAAAGATCACACTAATAACCACTTAAGCTTTATATATATATATACTTGTCAGTTATTCTCAATTTCTTAGCCGTTGGCTAAACCGTTCAACGTATGTACTCACATGCTACTTACTTCTTCCTTCCACCGAAACAAAATGAATCATTCTTTGGATGAATACTTAGTTTTAGTGGAACTAATTATTCCGTACTGCGTCATGATTTATATTTTCTGCTTCAAGTCTATCTTTTGCGGAAATTGTGTAATCAAAATATTTTTATTATATCTTGGAATTTTTTGAAAATACACGAAATTTAAGTTTACTTACTTTTATTATAAATTTAATATTTAACGTTCAATGATAATTATGTCAATTATCTTTTCTTTCATTTTAAGATAAATAAATATTATATAATGTAAATTATTGTTAATAGATGTACAACAAATTGCTTTTAAATTATTTTATGTTTTAATTTTTCCAATTTTTGAAGTTCCTGTATTATGATTCGTAATTAAGAAAATATTATGAATTAAAATAAATTATAAATGCTTCTATGTCAGAGAATTTATTGATAATTTAAAATTTCTTAAAAAATATAAATAAGGTTTTAAAGAATTATTTTTTATTCTTGAATCATACAATTTTAACAATATTTTTATTTCAACTTACATATTTATTAATAATAATTTTAATATATAAATCGTGATTACATACAATAAATTTAATAAATTGTTAAATTGTAAAAATTTTAACAAATTTAACAAAATGATTTCGTATTTCATGAATTATTAAATTTTTAAGTATTAAACATAATACTTTATCTTTGTAAAAAATTTTTCTAATTCACATGTATCTTTAAATAAATTCAATTTAAATTCAATAAAAAAGACAAAAAAATTACATAAATATTGCGAAAAAAAATTAATTCTGGAAAATATCGAGAAAAGAAAATAATGATTAAAATTAAGAACAAAGAATTTTGAAAAAAATTTTTCGATCTCATTAATGAAATATTTGAATTTTTATTTAACTGCTTAGAGAATAATAAAAAAAGAAAAAGAATAAGAAAATAAAAAAATTAGAAAAAATTATTGGATTTTTTATTCAGAAAAATTGAATGAAAAATATACAAATTATACAAATTTGTGAAAGAAAAAAGTATGAATAGTGACAATATATTATCATTTGTTTCTTATAAAATCACATATTTCTTATGAAAGAACAAGTACTGAAGATAAGTAAATAAATTGCGAGATATAATTAAAATCATTTTTAGAAATTATCCCAATGGATGAAAGTGATATTTATCCTGTAAAAATATATTTCATTATTATTATTATAAATTAATATTCTTAAGTGCATATTAATTTAATTAATTTATAGGAAAAATTTAATTATTGAATTTAATAGAATCTGAGAATCTTTAATTAAATATAAAAATATATATAAAAATTGATAAATAAATGATAATTATCATATTCAGAAAATAATGAAAATTAATTGTTCTTACCAGAAATTAATAGAACTCCTTATATTTGTATATTTCAGAAATAATTAAAAAAGATTGCTTTGCGACGATATTAGCGTAGATGATATCGAAACATTTAAATTTGCTTTTTCTTCGTTCATTACAGACGATTCGATTATTGAAAATATTTCGTTTAATGTTTCCGAGAATCCAGATGCATAAAAACCGTTATAAAAAGTTTGTAAAATATTAATACCTTCTTCTAAAATTATTGTGTACTGATATAATTTTTGTTGAATATAATTCAACAAATCATTAAATATTGATTCTACCCATATAATTGCATCAAAAAATAAATTCTTTATTTCTTTTAGAGGAGATAATGCTAAATTATAAAGTGAAGTTATTAATTGTTTGCCCAAAATGAATAATTTCTTTCCTATTTCTTTTAAATCTTCAATTTTCTCTAAATAATTAAAATTAAGATGTTCAAAAAGATTTTGTACATAATAGAAAATCTCTTTAACAGAATTTACTAATTTAATTATACTTCTTGCAATAGGAATAAAAATAGGGACAGATTTTTTTATATTATTAATTAAGATTTTTATATTTTCAGGATTATGTAAAAATTCTTCTAAATTGGACAATTCGACCTCTACTATTTCAGGTAGAGTAGTTTCGTTAAATATAAGATCACCAAATGAAATTATATCTTGTACTATGTTAAATAGCCAGATCAATGGAGATTCAGGTTGTAAATTATTTACTGCAATTAAAATGTAATGAAAAAGTTTGTTCAGCTCACAAAAAGATTCATGAATTATAATTTCAATTATATGCTGGTAACCATAATTTAAAGCCTCTGTTTTGCAGGAATAATTTTCTAATGTTTCTAGAAAAGATGAATTTGATTGGGAATAATCAACTTGCGTTTCAGAAAATTCATTAATACATTTCAATAAAAAATTTTCTAGTTTTGGCAAGTTCTTTGAGTTATCTTCAACGTTCTGAAAATGTTCAACTCATTAATAAATTATTCTAATTTTAAAAAGAAACGTAATAACAATAATAAAACATAAAAATCACACACCAGTTCTTTTTCTCTTGTTTCATTTTCAACCTCTGGATTATCCTTGTTACGAAAGTTTGGATTCTCTGCTATCAAAATGTCTTCTTTTTTATATGATCTTGATGGGATTTGTAAAGATTGTAAAATAACAGGTAAACTATGATGCAATGTAGACAAAGAATTTTCTATTTTTTCCTTAAATTCTGTTATTGCGTCAGTTTTTTCGATAATAACGATGAATATTATGGTATTTAATACCATGTAAAATAAAGAGAGACTCGACACTTTATTCTTCATTTTTTCAACTAAAATATTGCAACTTATCCATTTTGATTGATGAAGACAGCTTCATATACTCGGAGAATTGATATTTTATTTAAGAAAATTGCACGCACAACGTGCGCAATTTCAAAAGTAGAGATTAATAAGTAAGATAAATGTGATTATGGTATGATTCTACGTGCATATATACCTTCAGAAAATAATTAAAAAGCACGTATTTGAATCTTCAGTGATTATTTATGCGCATTAAATAATATACGATAATAATATAAGAAAAAAAGAAAATATATATAAAATATAAAAATATATTATATTTATTATATATACTTTCATACGTTCATTTTATTAGATAATAAATAAAAAAGTTTTGAACTTTTGATCATTTTTATATTTCAATATATTATATTTTATTATTAATATAAATAATTCTATAATTATTAAATTTATTGACATTGACACGATGATGATGATGATGATGATAATGACAATGATGAAACTTCACAAGCAGGAACGAGAACTCGATCAATTCGAGATTGAAGTCCTTTCAATCGTTGAACTTGTTTCATTTCGCATTCAGAATTACTGTTAATATAATAATAAAAAAAAAATTTACAATTACATTTATAAAATCAAATATTTGTCAATTAGAAATACTCACTAATTATTTTTCGTCGTAATTGGAACGTTTTCAATTTTAAAGTTGTAATTTTTCATAGATGGAAATGATGGAGAATTAACAGGAGGAACATAAGTATTGTACGCATAAACTTTACCACGTAAGGTATCTTCGACGTACTTTTTTTCTGTTGGTGATGGAGTACTACATGGAATGTCCAATGAAATTGGATATTCAATACGACGTGGCTCAATATATGTATCAGGAATCATTTTAAAATTCAATGACACTGGTATTTTTTCTTCTTTTTGAGGTGCTTTAGGCCCCTGAAATTTATTTTGTAACAAGTTATCAGAAAGTTTTATTTTGTAAAATTAATAGATAGATATTTATTATTAATTTATTCTTTACTTCTATCTGAAAAGGTAATCGACGAGATGTAACGCAAGGTTCACCGTAAGTCACTATTTTAGCACCATTGTAATCTAAACTATAACAGTTTTCCAAGACACAAACTGAATAAACGATGAAAATCCAGGTTATCGTTTCTGAATTCATATCGATATCTTAAAATTCACAGTTCGAAATGTAATTAAACTGCGTCCAACGATTTTACGTGCTTAATATATATGTATTTATTAAAAACAATTGATCTTCCGGTTAATTACCAAATTAAACGATACATCGTATTATGCAATTTATAAATATGTATAATTAATAAAGAGTAAAAAAGTATAAAATTTTTCCTAAAAATTTCGTAATTTTTGAATGTGTTTGAACAAAGAGCAGTATGAAATTTCTACTTGCGGAAGTAAACTGCGAAAATATTTGACAGTGAAATAAAACACGTACCGTTCTCTAAGAATTTTAAATATAACTGTTTTATATCAATCAGTATGGGAAGGTATAGATCGTTATTAAGGTTTATTATTTATAAATTAAAACTTTTATACATATATTACTATATGATTTCGGCACATCGATTATATACTGAAATATCTCGTATGATTAATATAGTCTGGTTTTTAATTTTATCATATTATAAATATTAAAATAATCGTGATAGTGAAATAGAATGTTTATTTTATTTTGAATAAAATATATTAAAAAATCATGTAAAAGAAATAAAAAGAAAAACTTGAAGGAAATTATAATATATATATATATA